GCCGTCGAATGTCATTTCGTTCCGGCTCCGGGGCTGTCGGTACCAACGGCGGCCTCGGCATAGGTCCAACCGAAGGTTCATTCCGAAGCATTCCGACCTGGTAGGTTTGACTCTCGAGAGCCCCCGTTTGACCTGTTGGGTTCAGCAGGGGGTTGTCTCGGCGCAGGTAGTCGTCAATCTGCCGACATTTGTCCTGCTCTTGGGTAGTCCGGTAGGATGGGGTTGCTCAGTCATAGAGTCCTCAAGGTAGGTCTTTTCCTCCTTCAGGCACGCGACCTCAATACCCAGGTCTTCTCGTTCCTGGACCAGCTGATTGTACTTATCGCACAGGCCGGTGTACTTGTTGGTCACGTCCGTGGTGTAATCGTAGAGTTCCTGTTGGTACTTTAGGAGACGGTCCTGGTCTATCTGCAGTTGGGTCTTCTCGGACTCTAACTGTGTGATCCGGGCTCGTTGGGCCTCGATGACTGCAAGATTCTCGACGCGAGCCTGTTCGAACCGGGCTGTCTCATTCTGGAGATGAGTGGTGAGGGGAAGAATCTGCTGGCCAATTTGGGCCTGGCATAGCCGAAGGTCTAGGGCTATACCCTCCGGGTCATTCTGGTTCTCCCGGAGGTTCGCGTAGGCCGTCCGAAGGAAGTCGAGTTCCGAGTTGAGCTCGTCGATCTCTCCCTCCAGGCCGATAATGCCCTGCTTAAGGTGATGGTTCTCCTCGCGGTACTCATCCACCCGGTCGAACATCTTATGGAGTTCCGCCGAGCCAGCCTCGGAGTAGCCGAGGGCCTGTAACCGCTGCTCCAAGTCTTGGCGCAGGGTGGCCACTTCGGCCCGAGACTGCTCCAGCATGTCCTGGAGTCTAGTGACTTCGGCTTGTTCGTGACGGCAGGGCTCCTCAGTTACTTGCAACTGGGCCTCTAACCGTTCGATCTCTTGGGTAAGGTCATCAATGACAGCATTCGCACGTTCAAGTTCGTCAGTGAGCCTCTTGCGCTCCTGTTTGTGCAAAGCCACCGTCTGGGACAGAACATTCTCCGTCGATTCGACGATGTTTTGTCCGGCCAAGAGCTGGTTTTGCAGCTCGTAAATCCGTTGACGGAGGGCTTGTGGGTTGTCAATCTTCTCCGGAGGGTCTTTGTCAGGTACCGCCGGGGTGTAGTCCGAGGCTCCGATGTGAGCCTGGGTATTGCTTCGGTGACGGAAACCTGAAGCCTTTTCTGCTGTCCGGACGCTCGGTCACCTTATTGGGTAACACAGTTGCGTCGAAGACATCGTCGGTCGGTGATGGAGTTTTACCAGCCCCGAGGTCCGAGGGTTCGAACATCGGGGGTGTAGCCGGAAGGTCCGAGGTTGGCTTTGCAACCTTCGGTGAAGCCGATTTCGACTTCCGATCAGTCTTTGAGGCTTCGATCCGGCTGGCTCGGGTCGGCATAGGTTCACTGCCGGGGGTCTTGGGTTTCGGGGATGACGGTCCGCCAACCGAGGTTAAGTTAACCTCGGTAACCGAACCCTCAACCTCGCCCGTGGAGGTTGCAACCGACGAAATCCGGAATTTGACCGGGGAAACAGCTTTCTTAGCCGAGGAAGTGGGGGTTGCCGGCCGGGTCCTGGGTGTTCCAACCTGTTGGGTCGGAGTCCGGACCCCAGTGTTGGGGGTCCGAGCCTCGGTGTCCGAGGCTCGAGCCTCGGTGTTCGAGGTTCCAGCCGACTGCAACCTTCCCGTTGGTGATTTCGAAGTTCCCGGGGTCGGCTTCGGTGAGTTTGAAGTCCGACTTGAAGTTCCAGTAAGGATCCTCGGGTCCGGTGTGGTCACCTTCGGAGTCCCCGAGGGTCGCTTCGGGTCCGGCGACGTCGATTTCCGACTGTTGTCCAAAGATTTTGGGTTGTTGCCCGTTGGTTTGGGGCTTTGAGCCAGGGTCAATGGGGACTTAGTCGGTGAACCCGCCTTGTGGGTCACCCCCCGGGTCGGTGATACCATACCCTTCATCTGGCTCGGGCTCATCTGGCCTTGCCTCGGTTTCGGTCCAGCCATGCTGCCCTGTTGGGGCTGCACAGGGTCACCCATGTCCGGTGACGCCTCGGAGCTACTTAGCGCCGGGCTCGAGGCTCCATGGTCCGGGGTGATGGCCGGGAAGAGGACTGGCGAGGCACCTATTGGGTGCACAAGTCCAGCTGCAGGCTCGGAGTTCGCCTTTCGACCTATTGGGTCGTGCAGAACCTCCGGTTCGGCCTGTGGTAGCTCGAGGAACGTCCGGTCGTGGGCGTCCTCGAAGCTATCCTCCGGCGATTGAGTGAAGTCGTTCGCCAGGATCCGCGCGTCCCGCTTCTCCTTGGCCGACTTGGTCGACTGGTTCGACTTGCCGGACTTACTCGATCGGTTGGAATCCGACGAGTGAGGCTCACTACCCGGGCCGGCATGGCGGAAGGTGTACCCGCCTGCGTTGTCTCGTCGGGCGTAGCCTTGGTCGAACTTCCGTTCATACGGGTTCTCTCGACCGGACATCTTCGGTGGTGGCTCTATTGGAGCCTTGAAGTAGCCTCCGGGTTGACCCTTCAGCCAAGAAGTCGGACTATCCCTATTGGGGACTTGTCCGACGTTGATGAGGCTTTTTGCCTATTGAAGGTCCGAGGGTCCGGTGGGGGGGCAAAGGTCCGGTGGGGTGTGGGGTGATGGTGTAGGTGTGCTTGTACTACTTGCAACTCAGTACTGTTGTCAATACAGGGTACAGCTTACGTACGTCCTATACTACAGCACTGACCGCTATGACGTCACACACCGTTAAGTGGTCTTGCGGATTACTGCCTACGTCACGATTCTACGCGCCGCGTGCAAAATTCCAAAAAACAGTGACTCACTACGGACTTATAACATAGGGAATCTCCCCGTTATCCTGATTGGTCAGATTTTAATATGGTAAATCGGCCGTCGTGACGTCACAATTAATTTTTAATTTGAATTAATTATTTTTGCCGTGGGAAAATCGGCGAAAATTCCGGAAAAATTAAGAAAAATTATTTTTCACCGACCAAAAATTAATTTAGCCGGGGGAAATTAGCTCCCGTAATTTTCCGTAATTTTAGAAAGGTTGTTAACCGAGGCTCAGAGGGTCTACACCGAGGCTCGAGGGTCCGGCCTAGTAAGGCTGGCTAACCCTATTTCTACCCTAATTAGATGTTTTTAAGCCCGTTTTTTCGGGTAAAAATAAGTTTTAGCCGGCCAAAACTACTTTTAGTCCGGTGAAAATGAAAATTACCCCGCTATATCGGGTCTTTAGAGGCTCTACGAGGCTTACCGAGGGTCAGTCGACCCTATTTACCGGGTAAGTCCGCGTGAATCCGCTTGTCGATCCGGTGAATCCGCGCTGTTAAAGTTGCGGGTGCCACTTAAGGCAAAGGCGACCCCGATTGGTGAGGCTGCGAGGGTCCGCGAGGGTCCGCTGAGTCCGTGCCGTCCGTTCCGTCCGGGGATCCGCGGGAACCGCTAATCAACCCGGGCAAAGTCCGTCCGAGGGTTGTTGCCGCGAGGAACGTTCTGTCCACGCGCAAGGAAGAGGGTCTGCCGAGGCTTTCTGCCCGCAAGAGAGAGAGAAAAGACCAGACCGTTCTGGCTGGCGGCGATCAGATGGGGATAGGAACCGTTGGTTCTCTCCTTTCTTCACGTCGGCCGTACGGATGTAGGTCTACAGCGTGGTCTCAAGAGGTTCGCAGAAGGAAAAACTCAACGATCTGCTATCATGTGACAGCAGGCGAACAAAGGCTCACGATCGTGAGAAGAGGCTTTATTGTGGATAGCAATAAAGTACAGAGAACCCAAACACAAAGGCTCGATGTGAGCTGTAGATCAGAAATCACCGAATGTCAGCTAGTGAATGAAAAATGAACGGCACATCGAGCCGTAACATGGGAAAAAGCCTAATGCGGCACTGGGCAGATCCAACACGAGCGAGCGAACGCTGATAGGCCGAGATGTGGAAAGGAGGCGTGGCTCCGCCTACATCGAGGCCGATGATTGGCCGAGACGTGAGGCTGGGCGGAAAGCTGCCTGAGTCGAGGCCGATCTAGCGCTCGACAGCGAGTGCGACTCGGTGTGAGTCAGCACACCGGAAGCGGGACTGTCGCTGGCTGCCTACTCGTAGGCTGCCATAGCGACTGGCCCAACACTATTTCGGATTATTGAAAAATTTTATTTTTATTTTGCGCGTATTTCACTTGCAGTGGGGTCGTGAATAACATGTTACAGTTGTCTCGCCGTCAAAACCTAACTTTCAAACTTCGGTATCGGCTAATTTGCAAGCACATTCGTACAAATATTCTTTCTTGTGTGTAGCTTGTACTAACAATTTCTGAAGTAATAATTGGCGGGGATACCCAGGCACGCGTGTTGAAAGGGTCCACGACTCCACGGCTACAAAACAAAAAAAGAATTTTACAAAAAGCCTAAACTGTACCGGTGCAGGAATACTCGTAGTATGTATGTAATACGGTACCATGATTACGTATATCCATTTAATTGTAGATTGGCCACATCCTTTAAGCCACTGCAGATGAAATCACTTTTTAAAGCTTACTAGGGCAGTATCCTACCTTTCTCCCAAAATCTGAAGTTTTTTAACTTATACCTGGAAAATGGGCCCTGGTAAATGTCTACGTTAAAGCAGTACGGTACGAGCTCTTTATTTTATTGTCCATTTAATTAAAGCAGTTATGGTAAAACATCTAAATCTAAAAAATCAAATGGCACCTGGTTTATACATCTATTAGACTGATTTTTTGTTTTTTTTCGCAAAAATGTATTCTACGGATTCAGCTTCTTCAGACGGTACCGGTTCAAATGGTTCAAAGAGTTTAACTGAGCTGAAATACTGCGCTACCCGTTCTAACACGAAAACCCATCAGTTCTGCAAATTGCAGCTGCAGGGCAAAATAACGGATTCGACAAAGCTGTACTTACCGTGATCGATGAATAAGCACGCACCAACGTCTTCCTTCGCATTCACTGCGGACACATTCACTGCCAGTGATTATATACCCTGTGATAGATTACACAGCTGAATTGGCTCAAAACTCGAATATGGAAAAACTGAGATACGGGCTCGTAATTTTTTGGTTTATTTCGAACATGGAGGGTAAGACATGTAAGTAACAACGGAATTTATAAGTTCTATTATGCGAGACGTTCATCCTCATAAGTCATACCATAGAATTTCTAAACGCAACGAATTTCTAAACGAATTTCTTTTTTTCATTTCTATTTCTATTTATTTTTCGCAGTTCTTTTTACTCAAAGTTTCCTCTCCCGAATCATTATTATGTGTTTTATGTATGAAGGGTAAAAATATATACGTACTATGGGTGTTAGGTGTTACAAAGTGGTATAGTATGGTTGAAATGATGAACTGCGTAATTTTGCCTTTAACCTATGTTAATGTGAATAACCCATTAAAAACAACCGTGTTATTATTGTAAACATTCTTAAATTCATGATCTCTATTTTATGAACATCTTGCTAGGTGGGATGGCTGACCCGGACCAGGATCTTAGCCATAAAAATTCATCAGCATTCAACGGTATAATTTTTCCAGTCGCAGCAAATCCTTTTCGGGCAGACTTACTTACATTTGAAGAATGCAATCTTTATTTAAAATATCAACAGGAGCAATCGATATGCATGGTGGTGTTTGGTTACGATCCGTGCAATGTACATGATGACAGTCCTATCAAGGTTATGCTGAACACGTACTTGGATGTATCATGTATATACATGCCGCATGCGCTAGTAGCTAATACCACCAGACATGTGCGGCAAATTAGCCCGTATCGCGCCGTCCTGCTGAATCTGTTTGAAGGGCAGATAGATCAGGATCCCGTTACCGTTGATGTAGTCGAACCCATTCGTAATCAAACCGCGCACCTCGCTGTTTACGATTGCCAATCGCCGAATGCAACCGCCAAAGTATACGCACTGGGGATTTTGCCAAATGTGTACAGTTTCGCGCTCAAATATTGTCCCAACGTGACGATTCAGAAGAAGCACTTCGACGGAATGCCGCAGCTACGGCTGATCACGTTTGAGTTAATTACAATTAGCGCGCTGGAGCCGGGCACGTTCACGGATTTGATCCATCTGCGTAGCCTGACACTGGAGAGAGATTTCATCGGGGCGTTACTGAATCAAAATAGTCCTAAACCTAAACCCGCCTACAGCAGGTTTTCAAACGGCGATTACCTCCACTATTTGCACGATTTGCACTGCGCTTGCTCGTTTGCCTGGTTGCGCAGTTTCCTGAAACAGAAACCGTATTTGGTAGAAGAAAAGGACCTGGGTGAAGTATTCATAATCGGAAATTATTTATCTCCAAGTGTTAAAAGAAAGGGGAATGAAACGGATGTCTTCAGCGTAGACTGTTCCAGAAAAGTAACCCTGGATAATATTTGGACAGGCAGTGAATTCTCCTACAAAGCATGTTGCTCTGATAAGACGTGATTTATGTAGGAGATTCGATTTTCGCATTACCATGATCTAAATTTTTGGGATATGTCGCAGTTTCTCGCATTTTGAACGCTTTTACAACGCCGCTTCGCATTTTGAACAATCGCAACCTTGCCGTGTGCTAACTCTGTAAATATATTTATTGCAGCACTCTAAGTCGAGCCTTTTCTGAGCACTGTTTTACTAGTACATATACTAGCGATATAACGTTTTTGTTCCGAGAAATTCCGGATTATCGTGACATGAAGTATGATTATGCCGGATCTGGCTCCCCGGGCTATAGTGGCATAAGCTGTGCGTGGCTTATGTATGAGAATATAGGAACAACGTTACCAATTGGAAGGACATTCAATGTCCGTGCATCAGTTTGCTACAAGGTGCTGTTTGGATATTGCGGATGCGAGTTTGCATGGTACCGTCAATGGTGGGAAAATAACTCCGCTTTGCTGCATAGTGCGCGTGACACGGGGATTGTGTTTAAGTTTAAAGATTCTATTGCAAGCGATTATATGTATCCATCTGACATCTATGTACCCATCGATTGTGCTGTGGATATTCCCACGGGAGTTGCGTCGGGCAATCTCAACCAGACGGAGTACTCGACTAATGATGGCCCTGCTAGTATGTAGTGGCCCTAGAAGTCCGCGATCGTAATCATGTTTTTCGTTGATTCAGTGACGCATTGGTGAAATGTTATGCGTTTCGCTTGCTACGTTCCACAGTTTAGACTCGGTCGCTGACTTATAGCCCCTGCCGAGCATCACGTACATCAAGCAGCAGCGTAGAATGTTAAGCAGAGCTTTTATGATTGTTTGCTAATTAAGTTAAAGGCTGGAGCTTAAACAAAATCTCGAACAATCCTACTTCTAGTTTTTGCTTATAAAGAAATTTTCTGGGAGAGCAGAGCCACTGGGCACTGGCGCTCACAATTGTACTTCTTATTAGCTGGTTACAATCTCGAAAAATCGATGTTGGGTCATATTTTCCTGGCCTGTCTGAGTACGCAGATTACAGAACCGCAGTAAATTAGAGCGCGTCTCGGATCCATAAGGAAAGAGAGCTGATTCACGTCGGCTGCGAAGTTGCCGGAGACTCTCCGCAGGCAGAGATGCAAGACCGCAGATTGTGGTCCGCGAAACCGCCTCGAGCGGTGGAAAAAGCGCGGCATAAAATTTTATTACGCACTGCAATGCAGAACCTTCTACTGCTGCCTTTTAATGCTGACTAAAACAGTTCTCGAATTGATACCTGCATGGACTTCCGACTTCCTGAATAATGGATTAACGGAACTGAATCAAATTATTGAAATTTTTCATTGTACATAGTTTTTTTTCACTTGATTTGCACACTAGTACTCACAACACCGCATCCGTACGACAGTACAACTGCACAAGTATCGCTGAGTATCGGAATATCTATATAATGTCTATATGTATAATTACTTTTACTTTTTTAGCTGTTCTCTAGGTCATATTTATCGGTACAACACACACAATTTAACCGATTTAATTTTTGTCAGAAGTCAGTGCTCTATGTGATGAATGCTAATTATATGAATACTAATTATCTGTGCCAGGATTTCGGCCCTCTCATTCGGCCCCGTTGATCTCAGCTTCGATCTGCTCATCCAATTTGTGTTCTTATGTAATTTGTGCGCCATCGATACGCCCCAAAAGGGAAGGAGTAGCCCCAAAAACAAATTGTTGCCATGGGCCCCCATAGACATACATGGTAAATACATTGTCTGTTTGCGGACCGTTCGGAAAAACCGAGATAGACCGCGGCCTTCGGCATCGGCACGTTACAAAGTATTGAAAATTTAAGAAACTGTCAGATATATGTGTGTATACACATGACCTTTCTGCTTAGCAACGTTATGTACATGAGTCAATGTTTTGGTTTTGCTGACAGTCAGTCAGCGACCTGCGAGTTTGATAATAAATATACGTTTATTATCACGCCACGACAAACTGGCGTGAAGGCAACACGACCTCACGCGGTCTGATTCCCTACACCTCATAATGTCTCTCACGACGTCGACATCGCCTGCTTCGCCATCAGCCCCCACGACGTCCAGCGAGAAGACTGGATCAGGGCTGATCAAATTTGAACCCGCGAAGATGACATGGCGGTGGTGGCAATTCCAATATCGGAATTACGTAAAACTCCGGAAGATCACGGACATTGAAGACCAGAAGTGTCTCTTATTGGACGCCCTCGGCATCGACGCTGGAGAAATGCTGTTCTCCATGTGTCTTCCGGGCAATCCAGACGACTTCACGGTTGCCCAGATCGTGGACAAGCTTGAGCACGCCTACGTGAAAAAGACAAACGCTGCAACCGAGTGGGCCAACTACTTTAAGTTACGGCAAGAGGCCGGCGAGACCTTGCTGGACTTTTCAAACCGCCTGCGACGAAAGGCGCTTCCCTGCGCATTTCCAGCCGACGTGCTCGAGAAGAACATGTCGGCGACCTTTCTAAACGGAATCTCCAGCGACGCTACGCGCCAGCATCTACAGTCGCAAACTTACAACACACTCGAAAAAGCTCTTGAGATATGTGAAGAATATGAGCTGCGCAAGTCCAACAAGAAAGGTCAGACAGCGCCGGATGTGACGCGCGTCGACAATGCCCGGAGTGGCGGGGGCGGTGCCAGCAGAGGACGCGGTCGTGGACGCGGCAGCATGCAGAACCGTAGCAGCCGTCCTGACCGAAAGCCAGCTACCGCGAGAGATGCGTGCGATGGATGTGGCTCCATGCAGCACGAGAGGTCACAGTGCTGGGCGAAAGATCTTGCCTGCAAAAACTGCGGTAAAAAAGGGCACATCGCGAAGGTGTGTCGGAGCGGAAAGCAACCTGCAGCGCAGCAGCGAAGAGATGGGCGGCGGACATTTCTGGTGGAGGAGGAATTCGACGTCCTGTCCGTAGACACGACGGATGGACGATCCATCCACGTACCAGTAAAGCTGGATGGCGTGCTGTGTCGCCCGTACTGGATACAGGATCCAGCGTGACGATTATCACGGCCGACACGTGGCGATCAATCGGATCCCCGAAGCTGTCACCGTATACGAATACTCTGCGGAGCTTCACGGGGCACACATTAAAGGTCATCGGTACTGCAACCGTGGAAGTCGCCCACGCACGCACTTGCAAGTCACTGCCGATTGTGGTGGTGGCCAAAGAAGGCAACGTCCTGGGAAGGGACTGGATCCGCGCCTTGGACCTCAGCCGACTGAGTCTGCGGGATTTGCAGTCGACTATGGTGTCCACAGTTTCCGGCACGCTGGAGGTGGAACAGTTGCTGAAGAAGCGCAGCGCTGTTTTCCGGGACGAACTGGGCCATTGTAAACATTACAAGGCTCACCTGCACTTAAAGCCGGGCGCGACGCCTGTATTCCGGAAAGCCAGACCGGTCCCGTTTGCTTTTCGCGAAGCACTGGAGCGCGACCTGGATCGCCTGGTGGAGAGAGGCATCCTTACACCAGTAAAACGGGCCAACTGGGCAGCAGTGGTGACGGCGCAGAAACGGGCTCGAGACATCCGTACCTGTGCCGACCTTAGCACGGGACTCAACGACGCTCTCGACGTCCAGCAGTACCCACTGCCGACGCCCGATGAGCTGTTTGCGAAACTGAACGGAGGAAAGCAGTTCAGTACGTTGGATCTGGCGGAAGCGTACGCCCAGGTGGAGCTCGATGAGGAGAGCAAGAACCTGGTGGTAATAAACACGCACAAAGGGTTGTTCCGGTACAACCGACTGCCCTTCGGTGTCGCCTGCTGTCCCTCCGTGTTCCAGCAGATCATGGAAAGCGCCCTCCAGGGATGCGAGGGTGTCGCCGTTTACCTCGATGACATCATCGTCACCGGGGCGACGGAAGAGGAGCACCTCCGGAACCTGGAGAAGGTCCTCCAACGTCTGGAAGAGCACGCGAGGGTGTCGCCATTTACCTCGATGACATCATCGTCACTGGGGCGACGGAAGAGTAGCACCTCCGGAACCTGAAGAAGGTCCTCCAACGTCTTCCTTCAGGACTCCATGGAGTATCTGGGGTTCGTGGTAAACCACCGAGGTCGCCACATTTACCAAAACCGCGTCAAGGCACTGCGCGATATGGCCCGGCCGACCAACATCAGCGAACTCCGAGCGTTCATGGGTCTGGCCAACCATTACGGGAAGTTCGTACGCGACCTGTCCGGGAAGTGTGCGCCATTCCACAACCTCCTCAAGGCTGGAGTCCTCTGGTCCTGGTCCAAGGACTGCAAAACGCAGTTCCTTTCTTTAAAGCAGCAGATTGTCCGCGCGACATCCCTGGTTCATTACGACCCCCGGATGCCTCTGGTCCTCGCCGCGGACGCGTCACAATACGGCATTGGCGCCGTGATCCGCCACCGTTTTCCGGACGGCACGGAACGACCAATCGCGCACGCCTCGAAGACGCTCACAGCCGCCGAAAAGAACTACGGCCAGATAGAAAAGGAGGCCCTGGCACTGGTGTTTGGGTGCCGGAAGTTCCATCAATATATCGCTGGGCGCGAGTTCACTTTGTGCACTGACCACAAACCGCTGCTCAGTATGTATGGTCAACGGAAAGGAGTGCCGGTGGGGACTGCAAACCGCCTCCAACGGTGGGCGCTGATGCTGATGGGATATTCGTTCAGCATCGAATACCGCCGCACCGAGGAGTTTGGCCAAGCTGACGGACTGAGCCGCCTGCCACTGCATTCGACGCAGCTGGATGGCCTGCCCGCTCTGGGGATGGACAGTGTGGTCAACGCTGTTCACGTCGACAACGTGTCGCGTTTCCCGGTCTCGGTGGAAGCGATCGCCGAGGAAACAGCCAGAGATCCGGAACTGTCCACCGTGTATGGATACTTTATGAACGGCTGGCCGTCGACGGTAGATACCCTAGCGCGTTCCTACAAGCGACTAGAGCACGAGCTCGTCACCATCAACGGCTGCGTATGCTGGGGATCCCGGACCGTCGTGCCATCGAAGCACCGGCAGCAGATCCTGGATTACCTTCGCAGCGCCCACATGGGAGCGGGGAAGATGAAGGGTGAAGCACGAGGATACTGTTGGTGGCCTAACATGAACAAAGACATCGAACGAATGTCCAGTGAATGCCGAATTTGCACTGAACGCGCAAAAGAAACGGCAAAGATCCCGCTGGCGCAGTGGGAAGTGCCGGATGCACCTTGGAAGAGGCTCCACATGGACTTCACCGGTCCATTTCACGGCACAATGCTGCTAGTGATTCTGGACGCCATGTCGAAGTGGCCGGAGGTGATCCAGATGAAACACGCCACGTCCGACGGCGTTCTGGAGGCCCTCCTGAATCTGTTCAGCCGTTACGGAGCCTGCACCGAAATCGTCACCGTTAACGGTACGCAGTTTACCTCGCAAGAGTTTCCAAATTTCTGCACGGTACACAGCATCCGACATCTGCGTACACCACCTGGCCACCCACAGCCGAACGACCAGGCGGAGCGCTACGTTCAAACCTTTAAGGACGGAATCAGCAACCTGATGGCCGACCGGAAGCCATTGCCCACAGCTCTGCGGGAATTCCTGTTCCGATACCGGAACGCGCCACAGGCCACAACTGGCAAGTCGCCAGCGGAATTGTTTCTGAGCCGCAAACTGCGTGGTCAGCTGGACTTGCTGGTGCCTGTTCTAATGACAACAGTGGAGCGTAACCGGAAGCGTTACCAGCGAAATTTCGACCAACGGACACAGGAGAAGCATTTCCAAGTTGGCGATTACGTAATGGTACGGATTACCGTCCGAACCGCGCAGTTGATTGGCAGCGTGGACAGCTGGTTAAGCGTGAAGGTACCTGCATCTGGGTTGTCGTGGTCAACGAAATTGACCTGCGAAGGCACGAAAATCAGATGCGACCGAGGCATTGGCTGCACCCAGACGAGCGTGCGCTACCGAATCCACCAGCTGCACCTGTCGTACCTGTCGCACCAAAGATACCGGGTGTACCGAAAGTACCAGTCGCATCGCCAGCAGCGCCTGCGCAGACGGCTGCACTGCCTAACGATGTCATTCCGGAAGCGATCACAAAGCAGGATGCTGGTGGACAGATCGGTACTGATAAAACGCCTGAACTTACATTACCGTCTGTCGATAGCGCCAAACCAGCGAAGCCAGCGAATGCGAAAAATGCTAAGAAAACGCTACGCGTTCCTGAAGCGAAAATTGATACCAGTTCCCAACTGAAGCCACCAGAAGCAGAAGTGCGACGAAGCGGAAGAGACCGAAAAGAACCGGATCGACTGATCGCGGATCCAAAATTCGGACGCTAATTTTATTTTTGGCTTTGGTTGAGTGGGTTTCCCCACTGGGGGAGGTGTCAGATATATGTGTGTATACACCTGACCTTTCTGCATAGCAACGTTATGTACTGTATTTTCACGAGTTTAAGGGACACGAAAATGCCTTAGGTCTGCTCGCAGCCACCCGGGGCCTGCAGCTACGTTCAAACTGGTTCACTGACAATGCTGTTCACAACTGCAGGGAATTTTCAGTTTCGAAAAAACCGTAGTGCATATGAAGCCGCGTATTTAACATACTTGTCTAAGTGCGGACAGAGCCATAAAACAATAAACCATGTGCGGGACCAGTGGTCGTGGCCTACCGCTTTGAACATGGAACAGCCGCTTCGTAAGTAAACAGAAGCCGACGAATCAGCGGCCTGTAACCTTGCATAAGTGTAACAATGGTAACATTTGTGTGTAACAGCGGCATATTAGGGAAACTGTTACTGGTCGATACAACATGCCATTAACAAAACCGTAAACGACGAGTCGGTATTCAACATACATAATTATACTGTACTCGTATATCTGTACTGGACTAATTCGTCGTTACTGTACAAAACGGTATTTACTCGTAGTGATCTTATTGTTAATTGTGAAATTACTTATGTGCTTTTGCATAGTATAATGAATTAATTTAGGTATTTATGCTGTTATATTCAAGTAAATATGGAAATAACTGCATAGTTATTACCATTACTACCTTTATTCATGAAATTAATAAGCCACGACCACACTGACAAACAAACAAAAAGCAAAAAATCGCACACGACATTGATGTATAAAATTAAACGCAAAAAAATTAAACAAAATTAAAAATTAAATTAAACAAAAAAACAAATCAATAGTTTTCGTCCGAATTTTCTTCAACACTGCTGCCCAAGCCACCGTAATATTTGATCGCCTGCTTATTTGCATAAGCATGTTTGCTGGCATCGCTTAGAATCGTCTGTTCAGCATTGTTCACGTAAATGCTACCAGTGGACATATAACAGTGACCAGCAGACGCCAGATGGAGGTAGCTGCCACTCACGTTACTGTCTTTCCTATTTGAGCTCCGAATGCATTGAACGGAGCTGACTAAATAAACAAGCAAACGGTACGGCGGCGAGGAAGCGGTCAAAGGGCCAGTCCCGCACATATTCTTGGTCTGTTCCCTTTCAAATACTTCAATTACGCGGCTTCATATGCACTACGGAAAAATATGTACTACTCGAAGTGGAAGTGGCTTATTAATTTCATGAATAAAGGTAGTAATGGTAATAACTATGCAGTTATTTCCATATTTACTTGAATATAACAGCATAAATACCTAAATTAATTCATTATACTATGCAAAAGCACATAAGTAATTTCACAATTAACAATAAGATCACTACGAGTAAATACCGTTTTGTACAGTAACGACGAATTAGTCCAGTACAGATATACGAGTACAGTATAATTATGTATGTTGAATACCGACTCGTCGTTTACGGTTTTGTTAATGGCATGTTGTATCGACCAGTAACAGTTTCCCTAATATGCCGCTGTTACACACAAATGTTACCATTGTTACACTTATGCAAGGTAACAGGCCGCTGATTCGTCGGCTTCTGTTTACTTACGAAGCGGCTGTTCCATGTTCAAAGCGGTAGGCCACGACCACTGGTCCCGCACATGGTTTATTGTTTTATGGCTCTGTCCGCACTTAGACAAGTATGTTAAATACGCGGCTTCATATGCACTACGATTTTTCCTTCTTTTTTGGATATCCACTACGAAATTCTGAACGCAATAATTCGGAAAAACCAAAAGTAACTCCCTCAACTCGGCTTTTGCACAAGCGCTTTGCGACTTGAAACGGCGGCCTAGCTGCTGATAGGACAGGACTGATAGATTTTGTTCGTGCTGATCACCACACAAAGATTGGCACAAACTGATTGAAACGGGCTTACCTCGCTCAAATTAAGAACTCATGCACTCCGAAAACCAAAACAAATGATAGAACATAGAGAAAGCCTAAACGATTCTGCAGAAACGCAAAGGAACAATGTTGCCCCTAGTTCCCCCCCCCTGGCCAGGGGTAGTCACTGGCACACAGTGCAGCAGTCAGTAGAATCATAATTTTGGGCCAATTAGCAAAGCGAATTTGCCATTATAAATTCTGCTAACATAACTTTTTCGATAATCATGGATATCCAGAAACGAAGAGTACTACGGATTGTGAAACTTCAAACAGTAGCCCGTAATGAGCAATAGCAAATTCAAAAATTAATTTTTAATTTCAGGGCTGAGTGAGCAGAACTGAACGTAGCTGCAGGCCCCGGGTGGCTGCGAGCAGACCTAGGGCATTTTCGTGTCCCTTAAACTCGTGAAAATACAGTACATGAGTCAATGTTTTGGTTTTGCTGACAGTCAGTCAGCGACCTGCGAGTTTGATAATAAATATACGTTTATTATCACGCCACGACAGAAACATGTGAAAAAATTAATCGCAGTCAATCCCACCAGCGTGATCGGTATACCTCGTATTCTTTCATATACGATATTTCTTAGATATCTTAGGTTTCTTAGGTTTCTTAGGTTTTCTTAGGTTTCTTAGATTTCTTGGGTTTCTTTGTTTTCTTAGGTTTCTTAGGGTTTCTCAAGTTTTCTTAGATTTTCTCTTTCTTAGTTTTCGTAGTTTTCTTAGCGGCT